GGCAAGATGTAAGAGTCAGTCTAGCACAAATCCCCGCACTTGAGTCTGACCTGAATATGGCTTTTGCTGTGTCTTCTTAATTCCTTTATTTTATTGGCTCCTTTATTAAAGCTCATACTCTGTGCTGAAGGATTTAGTATTCTCTTTCTCTTTCCCCTTACACCTTCCAAGAGGATTATCTATTAATCCAAATGCTGACATTCATTTCCATTACAAAAATAGCCCTACTCTATAACCGGATCCTCACTGCAACTAGATGAGCATTTTAAATAAAGCCTGAGAAGAAAATGATTCTCAGCACTCTCTAGCTTCCATGTTTATTATATGAGTCTTTACTATGTTTTATGTTAATGGAATTTAGCGTCAAAAGTAATGGACATCAAACTGAGGTGAAAAAATAAACACAACAGATACAGAATGTCTCATCTTATTTGTTCTTTCATCCAGAGAGTACAAAGCAGAAAGCAACAGTGCTGGGTGCTTCTTAAACACACATAAGGATCAATTTGGGGGAGCTTAAATTCTGGCAGGGGATACCTAATACATAAATGATTTTAGGAGATTAGACATGATATGTGACATAAGAAAAATAATAGAATATTGTAGTAGTTAAGGACTGGTAGCTTCTGGTTGGTATAATCATGGTGACTTAATAAAGTTAGGGATATCTGACTTGAGGCTCAGTTCAAAAGATATTTCGGGTGGGAGAGATTTCATAAAGACGGGGTGCTGGGGGGATGTGGGGTGCCGAGTGAGTATTCAGTTTGGCTGGAGCACAAGCTGTGTGTAAGGAATCAGATGGAGCTGAGGCTGGAGGGAGCTGAGGTCTGAACGTCCTGATGAGAGGTGGATATTGCATGGCAGACGGAAGGGAGGCTTTGAACAGGAACTGGAATGATCTGAGAGTGAGTTTTAAGGCGATTAATCTTGGCAGTGGTAGATAAGACAGATTAGATGGAAGAGAGATTGGAAACCGTTTAGGAGGCTATTGAAATAGTCTAGGGCAGCAGTAATGAGAGTCTGAAATGAAAGTAGATGCCATGGAACAGAAAATGAAACAGTGGATTCAAGAGGTCTTAGCAAAGGACTCTCGAGTCACTCAGTTTTTCCAGAAGCAAGAGAATGTGAAGCAGGGTATTTTGTTGTTGCTGTTGTTCACTGCTAAATCACATTTACTATTTTTGAAGAAGATAAAATTTTCATTACATGACTTAAAAATGTAACAGCATCCCAACACTATTGAATTGTTTCTGGGTGCTTTCAAATTTATAAATTCTGCTAATAATGTTATTTTAAAAAGATTTTCTTAGTTTTTAAATGTGTGCGTGTGCACCCAGTCATGTCTAATTCTTTGGGCCCCAAAGACTGCAGCCTTCCAGGCTCCTTTGTCCATGGAATTTTCCATCAAGAATACTGGAGTGAGTTGCCATTTCCTTCTCTAAGGGATCTTTGTGATGCAGGAATTAAACCCATGAGCCACAGCTGTTGAGCCTGTGCTCCAGAGCCCGGGAACTGCAACTACTGAAGCCTGCACACCCTAGAGCCATGGTCTACAACAAGAGAAGGCACTGCAATGAGAAGCCCGAGCACCACCACTAGAGAGCAGCCCCTGCTCCCTGCAGCCAGAGAAAAGCCCGCAAGCAGTAATAAAGACCCAGCACAGACAAAATTAAATAAATAAATAAAATCATCTTTAAAAAAAGAACCACTCTGCAATAAAACCTTTTGGTCACTCTTCCTTTTATGAAATCCAGCTGTTTATGTCTCTCTCCTCACAAGTCTGCGGGTTTCTTCAGAGCAGGTATACCATTCTAATCATTTCTTCATTTTTATGATCTAATCCTTTGTTCACCCTCTCTGCCTTACTAAGAGTTGTTAAGTGAAAGGAGTAGACGTGGCACTGAATATGATTGATCTGTATAACTTAAACACCATGAAATTCTCATTAAAGCAGAAAGTAATAACCAAATACATGTTTATAAATTTTCCCGGGTACTTGTGAGGATTACTAAGTGTCATCAACATTTTAATCAGCAAGGTTTTCATGTTATTTGGGGAAAAGAAGGATACATGTGAAAAGGACACCAACCACATAAGACAGAGCATATGGTGCCCCCAAAATGATGCAGGGAATAAATGCTATTGAATTTAGAGGAATGGAGAGGCAAGTTTTATAGTTGTGTCACTAGAAGGTTTCTGAATGAATGATTTATAAGGTAATGTGTATATTTGTGAGAGACAGAGGGAAAGAGAAAGAGAATGAAGAATGTATTAGTTGGGGTGGCTGGTATGCCAGGATTTCCAAGATTCTGGCAAAACTAGAAATTTAAGAATCAAGGAATTCTCACTGAAAGCTTGAGAAGCTAACCTTAGATCAGTTATTCTGAAAATCTGAATTGGGTAGTGTTTGAGGCCAATCCTGGATTTCTTACTGATATTTTAAGGAGTTAAATGATCCAAGAAATATAATAGACAAGGTGGCCCCAGATAAACCTATTCTCCCCTTCTCTCCCTTATTTTATCCTCTAGCAGATGTTCGTGCATGCCCAATTGATTCAGTTGTGTCCAACTATTTGTGACCCTATGCACTGCAGCCCACCAGGGTCCTCTGTCCATGGGATTCTTCAGGCAGGAATATTGGAGTGGGTTGCTATGCTCTCCTCCAGGGGATCATCCCAATCCAGGGATTGAACTCGCATCTCCTACATTTCCTGCAATGCACCAGGGAAGCCCTAGCAGATGTCTACTGTGTACCAACTATGTGTCAGCCCTGGATCAGGTACTGGGAATGCCTCTGTGAGCAGGATGCCGAGACAAATTCAATGCTGATAGAGTTGTGTTCAAAGAGCAGAGACTTTCCACTATAGACTATTTGAACTCTGAAAGAGACTAGTGTGATTTCAAATCTGCACTAATATGTACATTTATGCGCTACTGTCTCTGACAGTAAAGGCAATTAAATATTACCTTATAAACCTTCCAGATATGTGAAAAAATTTAAGCCACAGTGATCACAATAATTGATTTGCCACTACAGTGATACTCCCTCAGGACTGAAAAGCAGCAAATATTCTGTGTGTGTGAAATAACTTCCTAGATGTTTGGGTGAGACAGTGAGGAATCTCTAATCAAACTGAAAATAGAGCCATGGTAAGAAAGCAAAATACAATTATCCGGTTGGAATTTGGCCAGTATAGCAGACAGATTCTCTGAATTCCTAAGGAAAGAAGCGTAAGAACTTTAAATTATCCTATGTTCGAACCATGAATATCTTTCTGACTCAAGTACAATGTACCCATTACCTTCTGAATCTCCACCAGTCCTATCTTCTTGACAACCCTACTCAGAAGTTCAGAGCCCTAGGAGCCTGGATGTGAGACATGAGGACCTTTCCTCAGGGAACATTCACTTCTCTCATGAGGACAGGAACATTTATATAGTAGACATGTAGACAAATTCCGTAAGTGTTTTGGGATGTAAGTTGTTTAAATGACTGGTAGAAGTTGTTGTATCGAATACATCAGTATCATCTCCTTGCTAGAAGCTGAATGCTGGTTAGAAAACGATCTTCTCAAGCCAAAACCTGGGAAGATAAAGCCTTTTTTCATTGTAGACTCCTTGAGAAATTCTTGAAAGCTATGCACCTGCTATCTTTGCCCTGTCTCTCTTGCACACACACACACATACACACACATGCACCCCAAATGCAATTTCAGGGGTGGAGGCATCCACTTCTCTAAATTCAGGCCATGAGCCTTCACACTCCAGGTTGAGAAGCTATTATTTAGTCAGCTTCATTTTTCTATAGGTTGCTGCTTCAGGAGAGAAAAATCTAAATTCTTTCCTATAAACACATGAAAGGCTAAGGAATTTTTTTTACCACCTCTACTGTCTCTATAGTTGGAGACTTTGATTCAATAAATTGCATATAAAGAAGCCCTACACATTCAGTATCTTTTTTCTTGATATATATCTGTCTTTATCTCATCAGAAAAAGGATTATTTCCCATGTTCTATAGAAATAATGGAAAATAATTATCTTGTCTAACTAGACTTATACTCACAAGTGTCTTGGAGTTGGCTGCTTTAAAGTATTTCCAAAAGAATTACATTACTATTAGTAATATTACTAATACGTTAATATTTTTATCCTCATCAAATTAGGAAATCAAATAATTTAACTGGTTGTTTTCCTGTGGGATATTTAAAATAAATTACTCAACCGCCAGTATGCCAAGTATATTTTGAAGCTATTTCTTCAAAACCACTGTTTTTTATTGACGACTTAGTACAATATTTTGGAGAAGGCAATGGCAACCCACTCCAGTACTCTTGCCTGGAAAATCCCATGGATGGATGAGCCTGGTAGGCTGCAGTCCATGGGGTCACGAAGAGTCGGACACGACTGAGCGACTTCACTTTCACTTTTCACTTTCCTGCACTGGAGAAGGAAATGGCAACCCACTCCAGTGTTCTTGCCTGGAGAATCCCAGGGACAGCAGAGCCTGGTGGGCTGCCGTCTATGGGGTCACAGAGAGTTGGACACAACTGAAGCGACTTAGCAGCAGCAGCAGGACAATATTTACATCATCTCTCAGGTGTTCTTAATACATCTAGTTCTCACAGTGGGTACTCAGTTATCCTTTCCTATATGATTTATTATAACCAGATATATTGAGATATTCAATCAACACATCTATTGATTATCTATCTACAAGGCATTTTGTCAGATGTTATGGGGAATTCAAAGATGTATAAGACAGGTCTTCTGGAGAATATAATCTACTGTCAAAGATAAGAAATGAATCAGAATAACATAAATTTAACGTTATAACTGTAAATATAATTTTCTTATAGAAGTTAAATATATTTGCTATATTTATCTGGCAATTGATAAATATATTTTATCTCAGAACTCTGTAATAAACAGAGGCTTCACCACCATCACTATAAAAAAGCTTTTTGGAATATTTTTTATTTAATTGATGTTTATTTCCTACCAGACAAGGCTGTCAGGTTTGCATTTTTGATGAAAACTTCAGTTACTCCAAGAGCCTTCAAAACTTCTTTTAAATCAATTTCCTGTTCCACTGTGAACCTGGAGAACATAGAGGGGAAGAAGTACTTAGTTACAGCATATTGTTACTTAGGGCAAGAATAAAATGTTAGCTATGTTGATTTTTTAAAAGTCTATTTTATAGAGGATAAATTATGCTAAAACTGGCTTTTGACTGCAATGTAGCATTTGATTATTATTGTAAAAAGAGGGAGTATTAAAAAGAATAACATAACAAAATAGTATTACATTAATAAATAGGAAGCCATGTTGGTCTTAATATGGAATCTCTTCCAAATCAATGAATTGTATCACCCATATTTCCAGTGAAAAATATGGATGAAACATGACTGTATTAATAAACAACTACAGTTTAAAAGCAAACGCTTTTTATTAATTTTTTTATAAAAAGTGAAAACAGCTGGTTAGTACTAAATATTTCCTTTTTAAAATATGTTGCCTTATAATCAAAACAGATCATAAATATAAGTTTTTAGACAATGGGCTGTGTCCTTAAAAAGCTAAGTCTGTAATAGTCACTAAACGTTATATTAGCATCATTTCTGATTTTCTGGTTTTAAGAAGAATGACAGAGAATGATTGCTATCAACAAGAGGAATGATCAGGAGAAAACCAACAGATGAGTAAATGTATAGCAAACGTATTTAACTAAGTAGTAAATATTGTCTATATCCAATAGTTTAACTTGCACTTAAACATTGTTTACTTTGATAGCACAAAAAGCAGACAGTGACTGTGAAAATAAAAAAGCGGGGTGAGTAGGAAAATATACCGGAGAATATATTCAATGACTTAAGTGAAATTTTCAAGTGTTTTCTGTGTGTGCTGTGTCATTTATTTATTTGTTGGTTTATTTATTGGTCACAGATGGAGCTTACTATACCATAGAAACTTTTCCAACAGTATAAAACAGATCAATAAAAACAGATTAATTTAAATATCACTACAGCCCTTTGAGGTAGGTATTATTATCTTCAGTTAATATTAGAAGAAACTGAGGGGGCAGAGAAATGAAATAACTTGATTAAGTGGTGATGGTGGTGGTTTAGTCACTAAGTCGTATCTGACTCTTTGGGACCCCATGGACTGTAGACCACCCAGCTCCTCTGGCCATGGAATTTCCCAGGCAAGAATACTGGCGTGGGTCGCCATTTCCTTCTCCAGGGGATCTTCCTGATCCAGGGATCAAACCAAGGTCTCCTGCATTGCAGATTCTTTACCGCTGAGCCACCAGGTGAGCTCCACCTTGGATCATAGCTAATAAGTTTCAGAGCTGAGATATGATCCAGTTAGTATGTATATCTTGATCCACCTAAAATAGGCACGTGAAGGAAGGTGTCGGTAAGGAATCCTTTTTACTTCTTAAAACCAGCTTCATTTGTTTCACACTTCTGAGGCTGTTCAGATGAAGATGGTATTTTACAGAGATTGATTTTGGGCAAGTTCCCTAACTTCTGAGCCTCGATTTTGGGATGCAGAAAATGGCAATAATAATGCTTACTTCACAGCATCATTGAGCAGATTAAATAAGGTTTCCAAATGTCTTAGGGCAGTGCTATCATGTAGCAGGCATGAAATAAAGGGCAGATACTGTTAACAGTACTTACTATATTGCAGCTATGTGTAACATTTACACTGTTTACCAAGTCCCAGTGCAGTGCTCATTTCCGATTTTTTGTGACCCTATGGACTGTAGCTCACCAGGCTCTTCTCTCTATGGGGTTTTCCAGGCAAGAGTACTGGAGTAGGTTTTCACTTCCTTCTCCAGGCGATCTTCCCTACTTAGGGATCAAACCCACGTCTCTTACATCTCCTGCATTGGCAGGAGAGGTTTTTACCATTAGTGCCAGTGCCACCATATCCTAGGCACTATGTAAATTCTTTTATGCTATTATCTCATTTAATCATTCCTATGGTAATCTCACACAGCCCTATGAGATAGGTATTATTATTGTGTTCCACAGAAGAACAAACTGAAGTTCAACAAAACTAAGCAACCTGCCCTAATCACACAGCTAGTAGGTGGCAGAATAAAGATATGAGCTGAGATCTTCCCAACTGAAAAGTGCCCCCACCACTAATCACTGTAATTCCAACAATGGCTTCTTTAAAAACAGACAAACAAGCTACAGGAAGATTTTACATTTCACCCACTGATTTTAAAAATAAAAAGCCACAACACTGCTTTTTTGAAACCATAAGGCATGGCTGTTTTTGTAAAGGCATTTGATGTAATCTTGTATTTGCAACTTTCTATTATATCTGAATAAATTGAAGAGGTATGTGGAGGGCAGAAACATTGGAGATTATGTGAAGCAAGTGTTAGAAAAGAACAAATATATATTACATATAAGGACATTTGTAAAAAAATATGTGTAAGAATCAATCAAACCCTTTGTAGAAAAATCTAATAAAAGCATTCATGTCAAAGAACAAAATCAGATGGCTTATGCACCGGTTTTCTTCTAAGGCATGAAACGGAAGTGCTTTATTAGTAGACAAGCATTTCAAAGTAGCAGGATGAGTTCTCATTACAAAACAGAGAACCACTTATCCTTTGATTTCTAGCACTCTGATCACAAATGAAAAATCTGAGACTACAAAGGTCAGAGTGGAAAGATACTACAGCCAGTCCATCTGCATTCCAAGTAGAGATTTGATTCTGATGTTAGAAAAATCTTTTTATACCTAAACTGTATCTGTAAAATCAGAAAAGTAAAAATATACAATGAAGATGGCAATTTCATTAGAATCAGGTTTTAAAAATCCTACTTAGAGAAAAGTATGTATAAAGATAGATTAACAAAAGATAAATACTAGGACTTAGAAACAAACAATAGTAATAATAGATAATAATTACATGATCCTTACTTTAGGGCAGGCATTATTCCACAGTGCTTTTTAAATATTTTACATATATTATGCATATATAATAATATATATTTTATATAGTAGCCAAACTATATTTTCTAACATAGATAAATTGGAAAAATATTTGCCAATCTCATTTAAATCTTAGAGATGTATGTATGACTATGTATAAACCTTGTGGTATTTCACTGGATTTGGTAATATCACGTAGAGAGAAATCTTACCCTCTTCTGAACAGATTCTTGTATTTTGGATAAAAATGTAATTTCAACTCAGCATCTGATTCCTGTAGGATTTATTGTTCAGGGGGAAAAAAATAACAATACAGAAGTAATTGCCTCTTCTACACTCCCCCAACCCCCAAATACCCTATGCCTCTTAAGGAAAGCATTTTAAATAAATTTGTATAAAATCTGATACAATAGAAAGTAAATACCTGTCAGATAGGACCAGAATGTGGGCAAATTCAGAAATACTAAGTTCAATTCTTAATGTCTCCATGTGAAAAAACAAACAAACAAATAAACTATATAAGCCCTTTAAGGCAGACACTTGAGTAAAGCTGGAACACAACTATTAGAAAATTTTACCTTTGCTAAAAATTAAGTCCCATAAATCATTACCCTCAATGAACATCTGCTGGGTCCTAAAGCTGCAAAATGGAGGGGTGGATGGTTGATTGTTATTACTGATACACTGGCATTTGAAAACAGTCAATCTCTTAGAAAAGGAAACCCAATTTATCTTATGTAGCTATTTAGCCTCCCACTCTATGCATTAACCATGCAGAAGGAGAATTCATAGAACTTCTGGCAAAATGGATACATGGTAATTAACTGAGCCTAGTTTAGTAGCAGGCATTAATATGAGCAAGCAAGCAAGCTAAACTATTTCATAATTGAAGAGTATCTCTTAGAAAATGAAAATTTAATTTTCTTATGCTGCCACATTCAATTTCTCAGTGGACGGGACCTGGAGGCCACATTTTCTAGTGAATACAGTTGAATTACAATATATGATACTTATTAAGCATTCATTTAGAATTCTTTTAAAATACTAAATAACTTTGCGTCCTCATAGAATTAAACATTTGAGGAAATGCTACAGTTAATTCACAGAATTTAGTAAAAGATGCATTAATTCTGTACTGAATTTCTGATATCATCAAAAAGAATTCCTTATAAAATACAAGGGAAAATACAAAACTAATGATAAAAGGTCAGTAGATAAGAGTTTAAATCAGATTTAGTTATTTAATGATTAATATTTAAAAGTAAATGCTTTCTTTAGAGTTAAGATACCTTGTTCATATATTAAATTGTTGTTATTGTTCAGTTGTGTCCTACACTTTTGCAAGCCCATGGACCATAGCCTGCCAAGTACCTCTGTCTATGGGATTTCCCAGACAACAATTCTGGAGTGGGTTACCATTTCCTTCTCCAGGGGATCTTCGCAACCCAGGTAATGAACCCACGTCTTCTGCATTGGCAGGCAGATTCTTTACCACTGAGCTATCAGGGAAGCCCTCCTGTACTAAATAACAGACGTAAATGATCATCTATTATTAAAAACCCTTGGTTTTGTTTGTTAGATATTCATTGGCTATCTCTCCTTGAGAATAGAAATCTTTCTATAGAAATGTATTATCAAGGGAAGTTATGCAAGTTAAGTACCTTAGCCAGAAAGAAAAAAAATTGGGGTTATGATTACCTTAACCTTCATATGTAGACTAAGAAATATGTGGCTATATATTATGAATATACAACTTTAAAATAAAGTGCATATATAGTTCTAGCTAAAAATGTATATAGTTTCAAACGGTCTTTCATTAACATAAACAAACATCAGCTAAAGTTTTGGAAAAACAAGTATTTATATAAAATGTAACTTTCAAATGATAATTCCTAATGTTATTAAAGGAATAAATATGAATGAGTTAATGAATTTTAGTATTCTTGCCTGGAGAATCCCATGGACAGAGGAATCTGATGGGGAGGGGGGCATTGCAAAGAGCTGGACATGACTGAAGCGACTTAGCATGCATGCATGCACAATGAATTTTAGTAATTCAACTTTAATACTAATATCTATTTATCATCCTTCAGTAGTCATATTAATCATATTTTAAAAATTTTCTTAATATGGAATGAATATTGGAACTGTACGCCACATATACACATGTGTATGCTTATTGGCTGTTTATCTGTGTCTTGTTTTCTAGCCTAGAATTTACACCTTATGTTTATAAATTTGTTGTTTGTGTTTACTGGTCTAGCTCCCCTATTAGGTTTTAAGGCATTCAGGGCAGAATAATATCTTCAGTTGGATTTGATTTTTGCAAACACTTATTGTGTTTCTAGGATGGGAGAGAGAACTGACTTTAAAAGAATTTACAGAAAAAAAAGCAAGACCTACAAAAAATTTAATTTCTGCTATGGGGTGGTAATTTGAGACTTCCCAGGTGGCGCTAGTGGTAAAGAACCCACCTGCCAATGTAAGAGACAGTAAGAGATGTGGGTTCAATCCTTGGGTTGGGAAGACCCCCTGGAGGAGGGCATGGCAACCCACTCCAGTGTTCTGCTTGGACAAACCCATGGACAGAGGAGCCTGGTGGGCTATAGTCTATAGGGTCACAGAGAGTTGGACATGACTGAAGTGACTTAGCAAACGTGCACAGTAACATAAATGCATTGTCATAACAGGGAGGTGCATACATGAGGCAAACGTGAGGGTCGTCGGCTCTATCACCTGGTTCTAGAAGAACTGGTGCCAGAGTTGTAACCTGAAGGCCACGTGAACAATACCTGACAGACTCCAAGAGGGCATTTTAGGTTAATGCAAAAATGTACCTAGAGACCTAGAGGCATAAAGGGGCAGGATGACTGAGGCATGGCTGCAAGCACACAGACAGTACCCACCACAAAGGATATGATATGGTGAGGGGCCAGAGACAGGGCCGAGGAAGTAGATGGTAGTCAGAATACCCAGGCCCTGCATAGCTTTTATTCTTTCAGCCACAGGGAGGATTTTAAGCTTCTTCCTGCTTATTTATGATTGCATCTTAACACCTAAAACATGACTTGCTTGCAGTTCCAACAAAGTAGAAAGTTATTTCCCCCAGCTATTATCCACTTCAAGTATTAACGAACTACACAGAAGACTGTCAATGCAAATGATATTCAGAGACAATCCATTGAAAAGTCTAACATTAAGCTAAGGATATTGACTCATATCTGAAACTTGGTCTTGGTAAGCAGTGCTGAATGAATCAATGAGTCAGCCTGCGTCTCTGGGCAGAACTGAGTGAGTGTGAAAGAATACTTTTTAAAAGATGAAGGAGGAGGAGGAGAAGAAAAGGAGGAAGAGAAGAGCAACACAAGACAAAATGCAAAAGCAGTGACAAGAGCTCCTCTGAGTCAGAACCCTCACTGGTACCCTCTGCCCATGCTCTCAGAAGGAGTTATATAGGAGTCTCTCACCTGGGCAGGTACACTTCCACCTTCTGCTTCTTCACAGAGTTTGCCCACTCTTCAATCAGCTGTGCCTTAACCAGTGGTTCCAGTGTGGCCAGTGGGACCTCCTGTCTGGATAATACCAGCATCATACTGATGGCATCTCCCTCATATGGTATTTCCAGCACTTGGTAGATGCCACCAGCTTCATTGGAGCCGTCACTAAATTCCCCTAAAAAGGACAGAAAGGAGGTAAAAGGCCTCCATCAAGGCTGGAATAAAATGTTTAAACTTGTTATAACTTTCTTCCAAAATAATGTATAGAATATAAAAAAATTCAGGCATCTGAGAAGAAGACTATTTTAAAGTAGGCCCTGAAATTCAAGTGATTCCTCAGTCCTACCAAATTAATTTTAGGATCTCCAGAATTGTTTCACATGTGTCATAGCATGTTCTCTAGACTTACATTTTATTTTTAAGTGAGATACCTCAACTGAATATATTTTAAGGATATCACTAAAAAAATGAAAAGTCATGATTAGAAAAAAAAAGCTCTGGATCCAAGATGGATGTGGATCCAAGATGGATGTGAATCCATTTACCAGTATCCACCTGATTTCTAAGAAGGGAAAAACTGACCATGTAATACCTGGCACTCTTGCTAAGTCGTGTCCAACTCTTTCTGACTCCATAGATTCTAGCCCGCCAGGCTCCTCTGTCCATAAAATTCTCCAGGCAAGAATGGGTTGCCATTCACTGGAGTGGGTTGCCATTCACTTCTCCAGAGGATCTTCCCAACCCAGGGATCGTCCACCAGGGAAGCCTACTCTATTATTATCACAGCTAAAAGTTTTGAGGCCAAGGTAGCACAGCCAACATGAAATCTAGAGTATTTATGGTGATTAAAATCTCCAAATTAGATAATTAGTTAATTGGTTTAGTGTTCTATGAATTTAGCTAAATTGAGCAGGCTTTCACTAATAATAATAATATAGTCTTTAAAATAAATAGCCCTGCCACTAGTTTAAAATTTGGCCCATTTTCAAAACAAAGGTAATGTTTTTGTTCTGAATATTTTCATTTACTGATATCCTTTAGCCATCACATTAAATATTTTGGTTCTCAAATAAATGGATATTTTCCTTTTGTATTCTGTTAATTTAATTAATTGTGATTGTAATCTGTTACTTTTATAATGTAACTTTGCATAGAATAAAATATTTGTTCTAACATAGCTTACTTACATTTCTGTTTAAGACAATAAATTATCACAGTTCAGCATGTATGTAGAGAGGATTAGCACCCTAAACTTCTGAAAAGTCCAACAAAATATCCCTGAAAATAATGTCAAAGATGCTGACTTGTATCACAAATTATAGATTCTCAGTAAGTGAAACTATGAATAATTATGCCTGACCATGCATATTTATGGGCTTCCCAAGTGGCACAGTGGTAAAGAATCTGCCTGCCAGTGCAGCAGATGCAAAAGACATGGGTTCAATCCCTGGGTCAGGAAGATCCCCTGGAGTGGAAATGGCAACCCACTCTAGTATTCTGGCATGGGAAATCCCATGAACAGAGGAGCCTGGTGGGCTAGAGTTCATGGGGTCTCAAAGAGTCAGACATGACTGAGCAATGGAGTGCACACACACACACACACATACACAAGTCTGAAAGCAAAATTTTAAAAGAATGCTTATAGTTCAAAAAGTGATGGGGTGTACAAATCAAGACCTGGGTAGAACATATGCTTCACTGAAAACTACCCCAAAGTGAAAGGCTTTCTGGAGGAACTCAGAACATTCTTATACAAGGTCAGATATTTTCACATGAATAAAGCCACTCTGTATGTGTAATCAACTTTATAAACTAAATATTGGAAAACTGTCACGACATATAATATTCACTCAGGATCTAATCAAAAATCTTTGAAAATGGGGCCAAGAAAATTGAATTGCCGCCCAAATCAGATTGACAAGAAATCTGAATAATGAATATTTCATGTTTTTTTTTAGAAATTTGTTGATATACTGTAAGAAGAGAGAAAAAAAGCCAAAATATCTTACCATAATAAAATTCTCCTTGTTGGTACATCATTGGAATTTGGACTTCACTTTCATCATCTTTAGTGAAGGAAAAAGTTCTGGTATTTTCAGGTCTGAATTGTGACTTCCAACTCCCCTTGAAATAGACAGCATTGATGAGGGCCAGATGAGTGACAGCATCAAAATCCCTTGGGGATACCAAATCTTTCAACAGACCTATTCAGGAAAAGTCAAACAGATGAAAATTCATATTAAATCAAAAGATGAAAGAATATCAAGAGACTGTCAAACTGTCATCTGACAGAGTGATTAAGAACTTTATACCATTGTAATATTTACAATAAAAATTAAAAGTACCTAACTTTCAAAGGAAAAAATGTTACACACACACACATACACACACACTTACACACGAAGGGCATCTAAAACACACACACCACCTAAAATAACACTAGTAGTACTCTGACGTTTGCACAAACTACAGAACCACATACAACAGAATCTCAGGCTTCCCTACTTCCTAGTTGCAATGATAAATGTAAAACTCAACAAAGAGCGTGTATGTGCTCAGTAGCTCAGTCGTGTCTGACTCGGTGACACTGTGGACTATAGCCTGCCATGCTCCTCTGTCCATAGAATTTTTCAGACAAAAATACTGGAGTGGGTTGCCATTTCTTTTCCTGGGGATCTTGCAAACCACGGATAGAACCCAGTCTCCTACATTGGCAGGCAGATTCTTCACCACTGAGCTACCTGGAAAGCCCCCCAACACAGAGTAAGCATTCAACAAACATTTCTAAGTTTACTCTTGTACAATGTATGCAATTTAAATGTCATCCAATTCAAACATTTTCCCCATGTACATTGGATATCTTTTTACCAAATGTAACAACTGCTTCTGTGTAAGTGATAACAGATGTGTAAAAGCCAGTTTAACTCATGATATCTTATTTCTCATCATATAAATGTTCCTATCTAAGTCTATTGTGAAAGACATTGGGACTTTGGTGATGGCTGAAATTGTTTAAGGGGAGTTTGGAATTAAATAGCTTTCAATAATTCAGTCTGATGCAGGTAGATTATTATTCTTAACTTACTCTTTGAATGTTCAAACACAATTGTGTTTCTTTTATGTTACATTTTAATCTCATAGTTAGAAAACAGAACTAATATTTGCTTGGCACTCTCATTTTATTAGTCAGCACTTTTTTTTTTTTAAGTCAGCATTTTGGGGATTAAGGGACAAAGAGTATGTGATCAGGGTCTTTTGTTGTTGTTGTTGCAGCATTAAATGTATTAAGACTAATATTATTTTTGGAGTCTTGACAACATGAGTTAATTAATTTAATGAACAGCCAAAGTAATCTACTTTCAGTTTGGTCTTATTTTTTTTAAATTCCAATTTCAATTATTTTGTTGGTAAAATTGGAAAATAAAATGGTAACATGAAACATTTGGGGAGTATGAATACATTTGGATAATAAGATTTAGAAATAAAAATTAAAACAAATGCATCTTTGTCTAATCCCTCTCCATTTATTTGGCTTAAAATGGGCTTCTCTTTTTAAAAGGAATCCTGTATAATTTTTTGATTACCAATTAAGTTCTGTGGTTTAAAAGTCAACAAATATCTTTAAACTCTCTTATTCTATTTTAATCACACTGTTAAGAGAGTCATCAATTGTCATTCTAAATAGTATCTAACTTATGAAATAGTCAGCTCTAGTAAAATTCCATACAGTAATAAGACTACTGTTCAGATGAAACTCACCAACTGAAAACACACATCTTATATTAATTTATCAGTGCCAATATTCTATATATGTCAAAAGATTTAACATCTTTCTCCAATATTTATTCATGAACAAGGTTTCTAAAATCGGTTGTAATCTATATAAAATAATTAGTAGATATTTAACTAAATGCAATCTAACATTCAAAATGTAAAAGGAACAAAGGGACAAATAATGTCAGAAGTAAAAGAAAGTTCAAACTAAGCTATTAGAGAAAGAAAGGAGAAAAATGACTTACTGTTTGTGTTATTCTCCACCCACTTATTGATATAGTTAGCCACAGCTACATTTTCACTGAAGTCCACATGATTGACTTCTGCATTAAAATACTTCTTTATCATTTGCAAAAACTCTTCACTGATATGAAATCCATTTTGCACAAAGAGGGAATTGGCAATTTTCATCACATACTGGCTCTCTTCAGCAGTTACCATGTGAGAAAGATCCTTTAAGAAGGAAAATTCTTCACCTGCAAAATGACAAAGGATAAGTTTATTAGTGGAATAAACACAGTGAAAGATCCTGGAGAGTGGAGGAGCATGAAAATACAACAAGGAGGATTAAGAAAACAGGCCCAAAGAAAAAGCACTGGCTTCTTCCCCACACTGACATGGTGAGGAAGTTGCAAGATTTGTGCTGCTTCTAGATGTTCAAATTAACTTTTGCAGTTTTATTACTGATATTATTTTTATTCTTTATTGATTATAAAGTAGAGATATTTGGGTTGTTTTCTTTCAAAGTACTTAGGTTACTTTAAATTAGTCTTATAATTATCAGAAATATGAATTAATTTTTATTATCTAGTTTAAAAATCAAAATATTCCTTTAAATTTTACTTTCAGTAAACTTTTTAACTTTATAAATAGAAAATCCAGTGAAATTGTATTACTTCTCAACTTTTTAATGAGTTAATCCTTATGTATATTAGAAATATTAAATAGAAATTGTACATCATAGCAAAATGATTACAAAATACATTTTGGCTAGAAATTTTCTCCAATACAAAAGATTTTCATGATAGTATTATACAACATTCCAAAAAAAATTCATGGTTTCTAGTTGAACAATGAAGATACAGTAGATTTTAAGTAAAATTTTCTGATATTTAGAGAATTTTTTCTTTAAAGCACTCCTAACAGTTGTAATTTCTCATTTATTTATGTGATAATTGATTAATTTATGCCTCTCTCTCTAAATTGGAAATGCCATCAGAGCAAGAAGCATGTTTGCTTTTGTTAATCACAGTGAAGTTTATTTAAATAACAATAATAATAAAGATATCATTTCCTTAGATTAACTCAGCCAGGGATGCTGCTAAGAAAAAGAACTTTCTTGGGTTTCCTAATGGTTGTCTTACTCAAACCATCTTAGTGAGACCACTTTCTTACCCTGTATAAATACTGCTGCCTCAGATATAGACGACATAATTGAGTTGAAAGCGAAAGTCAAACTATTTCGAGAAATCAAACCTAAGCACACTTACCATTTTTCAGGCTGTCATATCCCATTGAGTGACGGATTTCTTTCAGGGTAGACCCTTGGGCCCCAAGTTCCAACATTCCCATTGCAAGGGTGATGCTCAATGGTGAGAAGAGAATATTTTCATCTTCTCCAGTGGCTCGAAGATGGTTATACATATTCACTGACAACTCGGCAATGGTTTCATCAGTGAAAGCGGTCCCTAAAGCCAAACTTTGCAGAACCAGCAAAGAGAAGAGTCCAAGAAAAGCCATGCTGGAATAATCTCAAGCCTGGAGAACAATAATTTACATATCAATTATTATCTCAGAGAAATGGAACCATAAAATAATAATAAAAATAATTTCTTGGGAAAGCTGTAAAGCAAACCAAAAGTTTTTAAACACATGCAGTGTTATTGTCTCTGTAACAAAAACTCATTAAGGGATTTGTTGGAAGATCCTATTAATCAATTAAAAGTCAAATGAGCAAATAATGCTGCTGAATACTGAGGATACTCCCAGGAACAAGATAGGCCTGGTCCCATCTTCATGAGGTTAAGTATATATAGATACACATTTAATAATGTGTGGTGAGTCTAATTTATCCGTTTTCACAGCCTCATCATATATAAGGCTTCTTTGGTTGCTCAGATGGTAAAGAATCTGCCTGCAATGCAAGAGACCCAGATTTGATCTCAGGGTTGTGAAGACCCCCTGGAGAAGGAAATGGCAACATACTCCAGTATTGCTGCCTGGAGAATCCCATGGACAGAGGAGCCTGGCTGGCTACAATCTATGGGGTCACAGAGTCAGGTATGACTGAGCGACTACCACTTTCATCATATATATTTTGGTCATGACTTTGAAACAGTTTATTCTAGCTAACACTAAATTATGTAGGCCCAGGACAACCCAAGTGAAAACCAAAAAATATTTACAGGGTTTAAGATCAGCTACTGAAGTTAGGCACTTTCAAATGCCCCTTTGCCCATTTACTAGAGTTTGATGGCACCTGCCTGCAATGCAGCCGACCAGGGTTCAGTCCCTGGATTGGGAAGATCCCCTGGAGAAGGGAATCGCTACCCACCCCAGTATTCTTGCCTGGAGAATCCCCATGGACAGAGAACCCTGGAGGGCTAATGGGGCTTCCCCCTGGCAGTCCATGAGGTCACAGAGAATCAGACACGACTGAGCGACTAATAATTTCACATGAAGTTAATGCACTAACTGGGTTATCAACTAGAGGGGAGATATCAGACACACACCGGCGAGGAGCCCCAGTTTAGTCAGCCCAAGCTGCTGAACCCATAGGAAGTGGTAACCCTGAGAAAAAGCAGATTTGGCAGATTCTGTGTGGTTTTCCTTAGGCATCAGTTCCTAGGGGTCTGCTGTCCTCGATGCCCATCTCCGTGCAGGAAGGAGCCTCGCTCTAGCAACACTATGCTTTCATACTCAGGCTTACAGGACTATTTCAGCTTACACCAGTAAACTAGTGATTCTATTTAAATAACTATTCAAGATATCAAGCTCATCTGGTCCTTGAACCATTTTCTCTTGGGAAGAGAAAGCAGTGTCAGCGCCCAGATATCTTACAATGATATTCCTGCCTCTTGGCAACTAGTATTCCACATGCCCTGTCTCCCCACAAAAAGCCTGACTGGCATACACTGGAAACAGGATTCCCTCTCTCCCCGTATTCTGACACTTTGTCGCTGTAGGCACCTGGAAGTAAACTGCCTGTTCAAACAATTAAGTAGCTTCCTTGCTCTGGAAATTAAAAAAAAAAAACAAATTATCATTAAAACAACAAGTAAAGTGGTAGTGAGCAAACACATTTGGAAAATTGTATTTTAATTAGTATGATGCAAAACAACCCCCGTTTCTCAGTTACAGAGTGAACACACATTTAATCTAAGAGCATCATGCTTCCTACAGGTTTTTGAGTCAGAGTGCCTTAACCAGTCTTGTAATGTTTCTGATCAATTTCAGAGAACTTTGCCTAGTCATTTTGCAAATCCTTCACATTTTAGGGTTAAGTTTCAGGTATCAGTTTTTTGTCTGAGAAGTTCCAAACCTCACCCCCGCACCCATCCCCACACCCCCGCACCCATCCCCCCCTCCACACACACGCATGTGCACATGCGCACACACACGCTTAGTCGTGTCTGATTCTTTGTGACCCCGTGGACTGTAGCTCACCAGGCTCCTCTGTCCGTGGAATTCTCCAGGCAAGAATATTGGAGTGGGTTGCCATGCCCTCCTCGAGGGGATCTTCCCAACCCAGGGATCAGAACCCGGGTATCCCATATTGCAGGCAGATTCTTTACCATCTGAGCCACCAGGAAACCTCATGAATACTGGAGTGGGTAGCTTATCCCTTCTCCAGGGGCTCTTCCCGACGCAGGAACTGAACTGGAGTCTTCTGCATTGCAGACAGATTCTTTACCAGCTGAGCTACCAGGGAAGCCCACACACTTTGTAGTAAGGTTTGAATAATTCTTGCTTGTTTAGGAAGATAACGTTTAGCCCATATGTAAATATGAACTCTCACAACCCATGCAGTGAGGAGGCTGAGAATGGCTACTGGTGGGAGATGAAGCGCATGGTTGCAGAACAGAGTCTGCCATGGAAACAGCATCCAGACAGAAGCCAGATGCCACGGCACAGCTGCCCCATTGGTCCACAGACTTCAGCCACCATAGAGGCTGCTGTGGCATTCTCTTTTCCTCTGTCCTCTCCAGGGAAAATCAAAGTAGAAGATATGATTTTTCTCTCTAGTTTCAGATGGAACAAATTTAGCACGTACTCTCTTAAGCTGAAAGAAAACTTAAAATATAGCTGGTATTTAATACTTAACATGAAATGTTATTTAGGGGAAGTCTGAAATCCAAATGGGGTTCAAAAGCCCATGCTCTTCATCATGACACCATACTGCTATCTGATATGTCATCTTCACTACCCAGCAAAGACACATTGTTTTCATTTAATGTGATCTAGTACAAGACTAAGAAATTAAAGTCACTATATGATAGCAGTCTGTCATTCAATAACACAACTATTGGGAAATGACTGCATTTAACATGAGTGTTATATTTTAAGCTAATAAAAAGCCTTCATTCATATAAAAGCAAAACCTATTGCCAACCAATAAATATTTCAGGAAATATGGCCAAATCTATTGCATTTGTAGACATTTTTGTTTACTAATGTATATGAGTGTGTGTGTGTTGGTTGCTCAGTCGTGTCCCAATTCTTTGCAACCCCACAGACTGTAGCCCACCAGGCTCCTCTGTCCGTGGAATTCTCCAGGCAAGAAGACTGGAGTGGATAGACATTCCCTTATCCAGGACTAATGTATGTATCATGAGATAATAATAATCATAGCTGACATATGACATATGGCTTATGACAAGTCACGTGCATTCTGTGTCTCGGTCTCCTCATTCATTACATGCAGGTGCCAATCCCTACTCTGCACACTTATTAAAGAAAGAAATGAGACAGTGTGTATATTTGAAGTACTCATTTTATGCTAAAAGTTATACTAGTACAGGACACTAGAAAATTATTAGAAAATATGTTTCCTAGGCTTGTATAATTGCTAAGTCAAGCAAGAGACTGTAGAAACAAAATGAGAATTTTATCATTAATGCTGGCCCACTGAATGCAGCACCATTACCCAATCATTCAGCCAAGACTGACAGAGGTATCAGGAAGATACCAAAATTTATAAGGACCGGCTCTTGTCTTCAAGGAACTGGCATCATTGTACAACACTGCATGATCTATTACAGCGCTTCTTATCTTTTTAAGAAAAGAGATACTTTTAAGAATCAGGTGAAGGGTAAATCATCTCCTCAAGAAATGCATACATGGGGGACAGAACATTATATTTGCTGGCCAGGGTATTTGCTGGCTTCACGTTAGGAATCCCTGATCTACAGCAGATGGTCCATTGCAGAAAGAAGTGTTTGATGGACCCACTGCTCTGCAACATTGCCTTACTGGGGGAAAGAAATGTCCAAACCTATCATGTCCCTTCAAGCTTCTAGAGGATTCCTGGAAAGACCAGCCATATGTTTGCGAGACAGGGCTCTTCCCAGGGGAGTAAGCAGCAGGACACTGATTTACATGTTCTGCTAGAGAATTAGAAACTCTAATAAATTAGAAATTCTCTAGCAGAAGCAAGTGATATCAGGAAACTCCTTAATAAAGATTTAACGAACACTCCTCTGGAAACAGACATCTGATCTATAGTTAAGTGATTTTTCCTTCTTTTGAAGGCAAGATCATGTGCAAGCAAAATGAACTCTGCTAGCCTGATCCAGCTATTGTGATCCCACCTACTCTACCCTTTGGTCCCTGGCCCCCTTCACCTCTGCGGCTTCTGACTCCTCCTGAGTGTTTGTTTTTTTTTCCCCAGAGGAGAGGGGAAGATTTCCTTTCCCCTTCTATCAAGTAGGTATACTCTCTGGATCTGTTCCTGACCTTCTCCCATGTAATGCTATTCCTGTTCCTGCTGGTGAATGTCTCTCAAAACAAAAAAGCACTTTAACTATTGTTCCTATTCATATTATTCCCAAACAAGTAAAATTCTAGCTCTGGCTTTATTTATATCTTCATTTCCAATGTGCATTGCAAATCATTCTTGGGATATTTAGTCTTTTGACTCTTGCCAGCATTTCAAATTCAAGGTGGCTCAAATAAGAATCTTTGTCTTATCAATCAAACCCACCCTTTTTTATTTCCTTAAAATGTCAATGTCACAGTATTTGACGCTTTCCCATCTCTTTTCCCCTTATATTCAAGGAATGGTCAACACTTACTCCATGCTGCATCCCTGACATTTCTCCTAGCCATCATCCCATGATCATTCCCCTGACCATGCTGGCAGTTCTTCCTTTTAATGCATTCCTAAGGACTCCACCAAGACCCCTCAGCCATTCTCTGAGCCCCAGGCTACGGTCCTCCTCATTCCAACAACTGCATATCCTCCCGATGAACTGTCTTGATGTGCTGTTATGAACAGGTATTCCTATATTTACAAAACCTTGGGAATCACCCTTATGCCTGGAGACTAAACCCCCAAATCTTTAGTCTTGAACATAACTCACTGCTATGCTATGCCAGCATTTCCTTCTATCCATTACTCTCCTTCCTGGATCCTGAATTTCTAGTGAGAATCCCTTTTGCAATACATATCCCAGAATTTCCCTCTCCTGTTTCTGGCTTGTGTAGTTTTCTTTCTGGAACAACTTCAACCTGGTTCCATA